AAAAGGAGGTGGGAGAGGGGAAGAGAGAGGCTGAGAGAGGGGAGGGCAACTGTTTTTTGGGGGACAGGGATGGAGGAGGTGGGAGGGGGGCAGCGGGAAGCTGGGAGGGGACATGATGTCTGGTGTCCCTACCCCAGAGACAGTTCGCACGGCTACCCCATTCCCCATGGTCAGCCTCTTCCTTGTCTTCACGGCCTTCGTCATCAGCAACATCGGCCACATCCGGCCCCAGAGAACCATCCGACAGACAGACACACTTGGATACTCAGACCACCAGCCCACAGCACCGGCCCGTCTCCCTCACCAACACAAAAAGCCACACTTACCCTACCCGAGAGCGCCTCTCCGACGTTTCCCAGGATAACTGCAACGCTTCCAGTTCCACGCGCAGGGCCAGGAAGGCAGGCGGTGGGGGGGGTGGCCCCGCGCCCCCCCTCCCGCCGCCAGCCCTGACTCCAGCCAGCAGGTGGAACAGAAGGTTTATTGCTTCGCAGAGACACAGCGTAGCACCAACTTGTTAATGCAGGAACCAGCAGCAACCTGGGGAGAGGGGAGCCCAGAGCCAGCTCCCTGGGCCCCCTCCCTGCCTCCTAAGCCAGCCAAGACTCATTCACACACTCAGCAACGGGCCCCAGCCCTGAGTTACTAGAGAGCAGCACGGGAGGGATCACGTACACCATCACAAAGCAAACCAATGAGTACAATACCCACTTCATCACAAGGGGGTCCCCACATGAACACTTCCTGCTATCCCACGCGTCCCAGCTGTGGAATTCTGCTGTAAACAGCCTCCACGCCCCACCGGAGAAAGACACCGACACAAATCTTAAAGACGTGAGAGATCTTGATTTCCAGCAAGGCCTTCGACATAGTCCCATGTGACATTATAGACTCACAGAACACTAGAACTGGAAGGGACCTTGAGAGGTCGTCGAGTCCAGTCCCCTGTCCTCACGGCAGGACCAAGCGCCAGCTAGATCAGTGTTTCTCAACCTTTTTTTTATAAAGTACCCCTTTTTCAAAAAAAGAAAAAAAAAAAAGAAAAAGTATCCCCAGTATCTACAGTTTTCAGACACACACAATTTTTTCTACCATTGCAATGCATTTGTTTAAACAACTTACTCATCGCCAGGTGGGCAGTTAAATTTTTGGGTGTAAAAAGTACAAAAATAATAAAGTGCTGTGAAACTTCAACCAAAAATGCAGCTTTCTCCAAATTTCAGTCTTCTCTCCAGTACCCCCTAAGGGTACTCGTACCACTGGCTGAGAAACATTGGTCTAGACCCTTAATATCTCCAATGATGGAGATTCCACAACCTCCCCAAGCAATTTATTCCCGTGTTCGTCCACCCTAAGAGGTAGGAATTTTGTTCTAATGTCCAACCTAAACCCCCCTTGCTTTTTGTCCTGTCCTCAGAGAACAATTTACCCTCTCACCTCCTTGTGACACCCTTTTAGGTACCATGTCCCTGCTCTATCTTCTCTTTTCCAAACTGAACAAAAACCCAGTTCTTTCGGTCTTCCCTCCCAGGGCATGTTTTCTAGACCTGTCATCATTTTTGTTGCTCTTCTCTGGACCCTCTCCAATTTTTCCACATCTCTCCTAAAATATGGTGCAGACTAGGAAAAGGTGGATCTTTCTAGCTGAATTTACTAGCGGGTAGGAGCACAATTAGTTGGAAGACCAGAAATTCAGCATAGTTGCCTTTGATAACTAGAAGGGGGAATCTAGCGACCCCTGCTTCCAGTTTTCATTAATGACTCAGATAATGGAGTGGAGAGTGAAACTGACACATGCTCCCATGTCGATAGGGGTTGGAAACCCTTTGAATCATACAATGAGGGTTACAGGGGTCGGAGAGAGAAGTCCTCCAGCTTGACAGTATTTCAACATTATTTCGAAATAACTGCCTGTGGCGTAGAGGGGGACTAAATTATTTGGAAATAACGCTAGTTATTTCAAAATAATGTTGCTGGGTAGATGTACTCTTAGGCTATGTCTACACTGCAGACTTTTTGTGCAAGAAGAGCCGTTCTCGTGCAAAAACTTGCGGCGCGTCTACACTACACACGCGTTCTTGTGCAAGTACATTTACAGTAAAGCGTCGGACGGGAGGGTTTCTTGCACAAGAGTTATTACTCTCCCCACGAGAAATAAGCCCTCTTCTGCAAGAGCTCTTGCGCAGGAAGGCAGTGTGGACGCCCCCACCAGCTTGGTGATGTACGGATGTGGCACCCTGGGGACATAGGAAAAATAAGGGGGGCATAAAATGTGGGGGGCTCCTCCAGTGGCACAGTGGTTAAGGTACCCACCTGCAGAGCCAAAGGTGGAGGGCTCAAACCCCACTCCCCCACTGTCTGGGGACAGCCCCCGATCAGCTTGGTGATGGATGCACCTGGCACACTAAGGGGGGGCCAAAATGTAGGGCAGTTGGGGGGCTCCTCAAATGGCCATAAGAGCTTTCTTGCACAAGAGAGCATCCACACTGCCATGGATGCTCTTGTGCAAAAGCACATGGACACACTCTTGTGCAAGACCTCTTGCGCAAAATAGTTCTTGCGCAGGAAGCCTGCAGTGCAGACATCGTCTTAGGACGTGTCTACACAGCACCCTAAACTCAAAATAAGATACATATTGCATATCTTATTTCGATTGAATTTCAAAATAGAGTATTTCAAAATTTGGCACGTCTACACAGCGCCAAATTTCGAAATAGCAGGCTATTTCAAGACATCCCTTAACCCTCATGGATCAAGGTGAAATAGCGCAAAATAGAACTATCTCGAAATAGCAGGCGTGTTCAAAAGACGGGGGTAGCTATTTCAGGATACTTCCGCTATCCCAAAATAGCCCTGCTGTGTAGACTAAGCCTTAGAGACTAACAAATTCAGAAACTGACAGGATAGACCCGGGGCTGGCAAGGGCTCCCTTACTGTTCAAATGGCTCTTTCACAGGGTCTCTGTCCTGCTCATAGGTCAACCGGCTTGTTCACTTTTAAATTAACTAGCTCCTCTCCAAACAGGGATTGGCAGGGGCGGGTGGGTGGACTTTAAGACCCCGGGGTGCCCCAAATGTTTGGGTGCCCTGCGTAGCTGTATGTTCTGCATTTCGGTAAGGATGGCTCAGGAGACGTGGTCTGAAATGGACTGGATGAAATTCAATCCAGACCAGGGAAAATCCAGCACCCGAGAAGGAAAAATCCAATGCCTGGCAACAAAATGGGGGAACTAGTTGGCTAAGGGATCATAGGGGAGGGTAGGTTAAAGAGGGTCATAAACTGAAGGAATGACGCAGGTGCCAAAAAAAAAAAAAAGCGACTCTTCTTCTCTAGCATGGTAATGGGAGTAACCATCTGAATCCTCAGGAAGGAGGAGGTAGGTTCGATATTAGGAAAATATGTTCCAAAGGCTTTGGAATCAGCTTCCAGGGAGGTTGTGGAATCCCAGTCAGAGGAGGGTCTGAAATCAGGTTGGACAGACCTCCGTCAGCCAGGGTTGGACAGACCTCTGTCAGACGCCATGCCCTTTCCTAGAAGTGGTCGCATCTCAGCGCTGGGCTGTTCCTTTTATAAACAGACTTGCCATGCTCTGCCCCAGAGGTGGTTGCATCTCAGCCTTGGGAAAGGGGGACCCTGTTTATTCAGACCCTCCCCCATGCTCCGCATAGGAAGAAGTCCCAGTGTAAACAGCCCCAACTGCCTCTCAGCAGCTTTCTCATTGGCCCTGATTCTTCCAGGCCTGTCTCTCGTGGTGGGATTAGTTCTCTACATCTCCAGCATCAACGATGAGGTGATGAATCGGCCCAGCGGGTCGGAGCAGTATTTCCACTACCGCTATGGCTGGTCCTTCGCCTTCGCAGCCTCCTCCTTCCTGCTCAAAGAGGTTTGGACCCATCTCCTTGTCCCATGCTATCCCTCGCCCTCCGGACCCTAGAGATTTCTTGCTGACTCTTTTCTACCTCCTGTGATAGTACTTGAAACCCCTTTTCCCTGACCTTGCAGGCTAAACTGACAGAGACTCTCCCTCTGCTAGCAGCAGTACGGTGGCTATGACACATGGAGGAGGGCATTTCTGATCTATCCAGCAGGGGGCAGTGGTGAGAGCTGTTGGGGGAGATTAGGAAGTCTCTGATCTCCATTTAAAAACTGTGGAGTCCTTAAAATAGATGATGTCCATGGGCCCAATTGGGAGGGGGGTAGGGTCTAGTGGTTAGAGCCGAAGGCGGCAGGGCTCCTGGGTTATATCGCCTGCTCGGGGAAGCAATCAGGATGCTGCTGCCCCATTTCCTCCGCCTCCCCACTCACTCTCCCCCCTCATGCAGGGCGCCGGCGTGATGTCTGTGTACCTATTCACCAAGCGCTATGCAGAGGAGGAGATGTACCGCCCCCACCCGGCCTTCTACCGCCCACGCCTGAGCGACTGCTCCGACTACTCGGGCCAGTTCCTGCACCCGGAGGTGTGGCACCGCGGGCGCAGCCCCTCCGACATCTCCAGCGACGTCTCCATCCAGATGACCCAGAACTACCCGCCCGCCATCAAGTACCCTGAGCATATGCATATATCCACCTCGCCCTGCTAAGCCAGTCCCCTCAACCTTCCCCCAAAGACTGCAGTGGGGGCCACCCGCGTGGATCACAGACTGGGTGCTACTGGACTGAAACCCCTCCTTGTCCCCCCCCTTTCTCGCTCTCCCTGCGCCATCCCCGGAGGCCTCCCCCATTTGGCCATTTTGGCGGGATTCCGGAGAGGAAGTCGCTCCATTGGCCATGATTGTAGCCATGGGAGCTTGGTGGATTTGACAGGAAGTCATCCCGTCAGCCATGTCGGTTGCCATGGGAGTTTGGTGGCATTCCCAACAGGAAGTCACCTTGGCGACCATTTTGGTCGCCACCATGGGAACTTGGCAGGACTCCCAACAGGAGGTCATCGTGTTGGCCATTTTGATAGCCATGGTGGATTCCTGACAGGAAGTCACCCCATCGGCCATGTTGCTAGCCCTGGGAGCTTGGTGGATTCCTGACAGGAAGTCACCTTGTCGGCCATTTTGGTAGCCATGGGAATGACAGGAATTCACATTGTCAGCCATTTTGGTAGCCATGGAAACTTGGCAGGATTGTGACAGGAAGTTACCTTGCCGGCCAATTTGGTAGCCATGGGCAGGTGGCAGGGCTCCTCCAACAGGAAGTCATCCTGTCAACCTTTTGGTAGCCATCATTGGCCCAGCACCAAATACATTTTTTGTCCCCACAAAGTCCAAGTCCTGATGGGAAGTCCCTTTCTCTCTCCCTGCTCCAGTCCCTTCCCCCCAGAGCCAGACAGGAAGTGGCTCCTCCGCCATCTTTTTTTGCCCCATAATGGCCAACCCCAGACAGAGAGCTGCCCATCCTCCATTCTGGTTCTCATTACACAAGCTCTAGCCATGGAGGCTGAGAGGAAATGGCTGCTAGAGCTATTCCCCCCCCCTCCAGAAGTCCCTTTCTCTCTCCCTGCTCCAGTCCCTTCCCCCCAGAGCCAGACAGGAAGTGGCTCCTCCGCCATCTTTTTTTGCCCCATAATGGCCAACCCCAGACAGAGAGCTGCCCATCCTCCATTCTGGTTCTCATTACACAAGCTCTAGCCATGGAGGCTGAGAGGAAATGGCTGCTAGAGCTATTCCCCCCCCCTCCA